ATTTCTTTTCATTTTATTTAGTCTATTTATTATTTTCTTTATTTCTCTTTCTTTAGATTTCTTATATTATTTTATATTTTTTATATCATTTCATTTTATGTATTATTATTTTATTGTATTATGTTTTAATTATTTAATTTAGTATTATGTTTTGTCATTCATTAAAATCATTAAATGTATGTTGAAGTATATTTGATAATTAATTTGATTTTATATATTCTTCTTTCACATTACTATGTTATTTTGTATTATCATTCATAAAATATTATTGTATTACTCTTATTTCATATTTCATTGTCATATTTATCGATATTGTTGTTTTATTCATTTGAAATAACAATAAATATATGAAATACTTGTAATATAATATTCATAAATATTTTGAAATGAATATATGATTGTATCAACATATTGATACATTATAACATTAAATATAATTGAAATAATTTGGTAATACACAAATAGAAAATAAGTTGTGTATATAAATAATCATTAATATATTCATTATTCAGTTAGATTTGTTGTACAAAATATATATTGAATTAAGATTATTTTAAATTTCAATTCTGATAATTCATGAATAACATTTGTGTTTTAGTTATTGATGATTTGATAATTGAATATAAATTAATACAGATGTTTTAATATATTATTTAGTATTGTTTTCAATCAGAAACTTTCAAATATATTGTATTATAAATAAGATTATCATCAAATAAGAAATATAAGAATAAGAAATATGAATATGATAATAAAATGATAAGTTTAACCAATCATAATATTTTGTTTGTTTGAAATAAAAATACACAACAAGAATAGAATATTTTTAGAGTTGGATGAAAGAATTTTGACATTTTAACATTTCATCAAGTCATGAATGAATGATATACAATGATAATATAAACACAAAATACAAAGAAGGCAAATAAATTTCAATTCAAATTCAAATAATGAATGGACAATAAAGAAATAGAAGTATGTTAGTGTGATATATTTAAAGAGAAGAACTAATTAGAAATAAACAACGATTCTATTGATATTAATTGTTGTAATTAGTAAAGGATTGGAGACTGAACAATACAATGAACAAGGAAATAAAGATGATAATAAACGTGAAGATAACATGATTGATTCAACAAGAATTAAACAACATAAACATGAGAATAAATATAACAATGATGAAAATACACAAAATCAAACATATAATCGGTTGACTAATACCATTCAAAATATTTATAATAATATACATTTGATAGCTGAAGCACCATCAGAATCAGTACCACAAGCTCTAAAAGATAATTCAGCAACAGTATCACATGGAGGTTCAACACTATCAGGACAAGGAAATGAAGAAACAACACATGGAGATGCAACACAAGCATTGCCACAAGGAGTATCAGTACCACCAGCACAAGGAGATAAAAGTCCATCACCACCAGCATCAGCAGAAAATCCACAAGCATCAAAAGGAAGTGAACCACCAGCAAAACCATCAGAAGAAAAATCACCACAACCAGGAGTGTCATCATCAGGAGAACCATCACCAGCCCCATCTAAACAAGTATCTGGAGGATCACCATCACCAGCATCTCAATCAGGAGCTGTAACACCAGAGGCACCAGCATCTCAACATGGACCAACACCAGTAGAAGGAGGTTCAGTAACAACAGGAGGAGATACTAATCAAGTACTACCTAAACCAGAAAAACCACAACCTACAGAAACAAATGCACAAACTCCTCCAACAACATCACAACAAGAACAACCTCCATCAGTTCCAGCCTCAACACAACCAGCATCAGGAAATGAACAAACAACACAATCAACAAAAGGGCAAAACCCACAAAACTCACCATCAACACAATCTGGAGAAACATCAGATGGACAAAAACAAGGACAACCACCATCAACTTCATCACAACCATCATCATCAGGTGATTCAACACAACAATCACCACAGTCACCAACGACACAAACGACTTCCTCCTCAACAACAAATACCCCACAAACATCACAACCACAAACTAACACAAACCCTTCAACTGTAACACCATCAAAAGATAAGCCAAACACAGCACCAAACGACGACTCACAAAAAGAAAAGCCACAACCACAACAAACAAAGCCAGAAGAAAAACCACAACCACCATCACAACCACAGCAAAATCAACCACAACAACAAAATGAAAAACAAGATAATAAAAATACAACTACTTCTGATAATTCACATGATAAAATTATTGTTAGTTCTGATGATATTTCTGATAATCACAATAATCTTGATGGTGCATCACCCGTGTTTATGTTGTTGGCTTTTGTTATTCAGTTGATATTCTTCTAATTATTGTGTTTCTCTCTTTTTCTTTTCCTTTCGTATTCTTCTTTATCTTTTATTCATATGTCTATAAAATATTTCCTATATTTCATTCATGTTTAATGTTATTATAAAATTGAATTATTTCATATCCATTTGAGATGAATGAATAACCAATATTATCAAAAATGACACGATAAAAGAATAAATATTGATATTAAAAGAAAATAAAAGAAAATAAATTAATAAATTCATAAGAAATAGAAAATGTCATGAATATATTATGAATGAATAAATAATAATGAAAACACAACATTTTAACACAAATATTATCATACAAATTGTTAGAATGGTTATTAATTAAATGAATAATAACATTTATAATCATATTTATATTAATCATATGTTGATTTATCATTATTGAAATAATGAAACAACAAATTAAAAATGAATATAAATAATTACGAAATAATTACAATATAAAATTATTGGATGAATTAAATATTTGATTAATCATATGTAAATATATAAAATATGAATAAAATAAGTGAAGTATAAGAGAATAATTGATATTAATATCATTTATATGATTCATTTATAACAATTTATTTTTTAATTTATTATTATTTCTTCTTTATTTATTTATTGTTGTTCTTCTATGAATTTTTATTTTCTTTTCTTCTTTATTTTTTTTTCTTATTCATCTCTATTTATTCTCTATTTAATATCACATTAACTCTTATTCTTCTTTTTATATTCATCCATTTATTATCACTTAGTATTAATCTTGTCTACTTTTATTTTCTTCTTTCATTATGTATTTATTCTTTGTATTTTGTTCATTTTTTTATTTGTTATTTGAGTTAGTTCAAATAAAATTGTAAGAAATGACAATTCTTGTATAATGATTATTGATAATTTTTAATGGTAGTTTGTATTTATTAAAAGAAATCAAAACATAATTAAAGTATAATTATAAATATATTCGAATATTAATATGTTAGTATGAAGTACTAAAATAAAAGTAATACTATACATTTTTATTATGTTCAATCAAAGAATTTAATTGAAAATGATTGAATTGATTATTTTATTTTGGTCTTTTTTTATTCTTCTTGATAAACACAAATTAATAATAGAATATAAGAATAATTAATAAAAGAGTAAGAATGATGAAATAGAAACAAAAGAATAAGTATTTTGTTCAATAGTTTATGATAATTTTAGAATATACCAAACTAATTTTCAAAGATTTTTGGTAGTAGGCATTTCATATTTTTGTTTACCAAATTTAAAATATTAAAAGACTGAAATAATCCCAAGAAACACAATTTTGTTATAAATAAAATTTGATAAGAAACGAAAGAAGATATTTAAAGAAAAAAATAAACTTATTTTCATTCAACATTTCTACTTACATATATGAATACATTAAGTATAAAGTAAGAAATGAAGGACTCAATTAAGAAAGAAGAAGCTAGTAATTAAAAGAAGTGAAAGTAAGAAGAAGCACAAAACATGGAATATAAAATAGAAAGAAAAGAATTAACCATGACATTCTCAACAGACTCTATCAAACAGATAGACGAGGGGAATAATGAGTTATAAAAAGAAGTCAAATTCTTTTAATCAGCAAGTTATTCTTTCTATTGTGAATGGTTAGTAATGAAGGACATCGCTTGAGATGACCATTGCCGAGAGTAGAATCTGAATACAAAACCAACACCAAATAAATCCGTCATTCAAATGATTAATGTGGTGATCAAATGAATGAACATTTTAAATGTAGTTGGAAGTTGTTTTTTGTATTTACTACTTAAGGATTCATTATGATGCATTCATGATACACCACAGAGAAATGTCATGATCAACTATCCAATTAAATTATTGCCGGCAAGTTCTTGGTCTGAGTGTATGGATTTCACCCAATTGGATCATGTTACATTGAAAAGGTATATAATTTAAAATGGGAGTTGATGAAGTTAATAAAGAAAATAAACAAAAATGTCAATTAATAGATATATTCACTATTGAATTATTCTCCATATGAGAAATAATTATTTTAAAATTTCAATATGCTCCACTTCTGCAATAGAAATTATTTCTAATATGCTTGCATTATTAAAGAAAATAAAAAAGAATATAATAAAGATAAATCTGTTAATATAAAAGAGAATCAAAGAAAAGAGAATAACAACAGTAGAAGATAAAGAATAGAAATAAATATAATTGAATAAATTATTTAAAATATTTATGATAAAAATATAAAATAATAAAAAATAAACATAATAATAATAAGAAGAAATGTATAAAGAATAGAATAATGAATATAAATATTAACATAATATTAAACAACAAATGGTTCTAACAATTATACAATAAATAAAATTGTATTTAATATTTATTTAATATTTTTATTAGTTATTATAAATATAACATTATTTCATTCATTATTTAGTTGTTTATTTTATTATTTTCATTTTTATTTATCTTTCATTATTTGCATTGTTCATTTCATTTAGTTATTCTTATTCTTCTTTATTCTTTTATTATCCTTTCTTTTCTAGAAGTATTTATTCTATGATATATTATTTCAT